GAAAAATATTATCTAAATATATTATTATATATATATATATATATATACTAATTAAAAGGTAGAACGGATACGAATTTTCCCGTGACTCATTGTACGTTAACGGTATTATATATGATCGTGGATAAAATTAAAAATCAACTAATGTGAATAATATTTAATATAATATATCTGTGTGTGCGCGTTCGTGTGTGTTTCACTTTTTTTTTAAGAAGTTTTTTATTTATATCGTGTAAAGAGACACATGTCGAACACACACCGATCACACGTTGATCGCATCACCCACTTAGTGTAGAATAACGTTGTAAGATTTACACACACACACACACACAAAGGATTATTTTACTCGTACATGTAGTCCGACCTTTAAAACGTTTCCGCGATCTTACATAGTAATTAACATTACGATCCAACTATCCAACGACGTAACGTACATTGTACGACTTTATGTGTACGTACATTTATGATTCGCATCAACCAACCAGATCCTTTATCTTTTCATCATCTTATCTTCATAGAAATTATCTTGGAAAACGAGGATATACCAAAACCTATGTAATTGAACAAAGAATTTTTGCACAAAAGAAAATGTTCAACTTTGTTTCGTAGAAAACAAATTTCAAACATTACACGTAAGATGAATGGAATGTTTTTGATTACTTTTATAATTAAATGAATCAGATATATAATTACTTACATTGTTACAATTTTATTTGTATTATTATTATTATTATTATTATTATCATTATCATCATCATTTTCAGTGACGTTAGTAGTCTCATTATTCGAATATTTTTGAACATACTTTACTTACAATTAGCGCACTAATCTAATTCCTTCTAGAAAATGTTATTGTTGTAATATACCTTTTTTCTTACGCATGTGTTTTACAAGTGTGTATGTGCGCTCGTATATGCACACAACGAACTCTGTTCCGAGTCTCGTAACGTTTCTATTGTCCTTGATACACGAAAGCGTGATAGCCGTCAGAGTAGTCACGTTTCTTGTACTTACCAACATTGATATATGCGATTATTAGAAATATGAATCTCTGTTAACGAAATATATGCAACGATAAAAGAAATTTTTCTATTTTTGATTTTTTTCTCATCTTCTTCTTTTTTCTGTGTGTATGTGTGTTTTTTTCCCCTTTCTTTCTTTCTTTCAACTCACAATCAAAAAAAAATAAATAAAAAAGAAATACGAAGCAGTATCTTCATTAATGTCAATCGGGTTTAATCCCATAAAATTTGAATTTCGCGTTAGAAGATAGTTAGGACACAAGTTATTTCCGTCTTAATTGAAGATTTTAAGTACCTGTTTATCTTCAATCAAAAATCCATAGGATGAAAATAAAATAAAAAAACTTACGTACGAAGATACGTATAATTTAACTACCTGCTATTACATATATATATATATATATATATATAAAAAAAATCACTACGGATGAAGTATCGTTAATCGTACAGATCAAACGCATATCTTACATGACATTAGCTTTCTAAATTAGAAAATAAAATATATTGAAGACGACGCGTAACTACAATAGTATGACGACAATCCAAAGCTTTCTAAATATCGTATAATTAAAATAAACGATTGTGTTTTAATAATAAATTCCTCGTTCGCGAATTCCTCGAATATATTTTATTGATTAATTTGTTAAATAGAATATAACGATTAACCTGTGTTATGAAAGAGATTTTTTTGTTGATGTTTCGTTTGAAATGATTTAGCTTGAAGAAAAAAGAAAAAAAAAAAAGAAAAAAAGTAATCGAGAAAATGACTTCTCATAAAATTGTGATTCATTGTGTGTTATACAAAAGATACGAAAGAGATATATTAGATCTCGATAATTCTTATTTTTTTGTAGTTTCTTTCGATGAAATTTGATTGCTCGAGGAAAGTACTTAACATCCTCGGGAATCCTTGGTACCGTCGGATTGGTCGAATAAATGGAATTTCTTCTTCGAGGCACTTGGGAGTTCCCAAGACACGTTACACGCCTCCGGGCGCAACTCGTGACGTAGGAAAGTGACGTCGATAAGCACACGTGCGAGCGGTAAAATAAGAAGGTGTACCGTGCCTCTTTACGAATGAGGAAAATTTTTTTTATTACATTTTATTCTATCTCATTTTAATATCTCTCCTCTCTATACTTCTTATAATTATTATTATTATTATTATTATTATTATTTTTCACTTACATTAGTTAGACACTTTCGCTAAATCGTTGAAAAAAAAAACAAATATTTAATTACAAATACCTAACTTTCCTCGAAGTTTTGCGTAAAATATTTTTACGTTAAACACAAAAATTACTGCTCAATGACGTTATTTACTTATATTTCTTATCAAAAATTCTACTATAAAATATTCGAGATATTGCATTTATGAAAATATAACGTTTAGATAGATGAGAAAATTGGATTGGCGTTCTAAGGAATTAGACGATACGGAAATATATTGGAAAATAAAAAAATAGGAATACTTTAATGATTTTTATAACGATATATAAATCAATATGTAAAATAATTTTATATCTAATTATATTTTTAAAAATAGAGAAAAAAGTGTGGTGAGATCAAAGGGTATAATACACACGCACACGCTTAAAATATATTCGTATTTGCGTTGTTTCTTTCGTAAGTAGTTTATTTTATCATTAATTCGATCATAAATCAGATCTTACGATAGGAAGAGGCACGATTTTTCCAACACGGAACCGGTGTAATACTCGAGAATTCTTAATCGCAAACGATTAAACACACAATCGCAAAAGAAAATTTAAATATTCAAGGATATCAATAATATTCTATCCAATCATAAAATATTAATGGCAAAATACCGAAATAAGCTCTATCCATCCTATCCATTCATCTATAAATCATAATTTATCATACAAAATAGTACATTATACTTAACATAAATATGATACTTAAAATACATTATGTGCTATAATAAAAACGACAGATATTAACAAATAATTGTTAATATCATTCACCATTCGTAAATACTAAGATCTCGATTAAACAAAGAAATAAAGAAAGAGAGAGAGAGAGAGAATAAAAATACAACGAAAAATAAATGAGTCCATTTTACAAATGATAAACGAAAGAACGATTTTGGATTTTTTTGTCGTTAAGTTTTATTCTTGAGAAACAGAGAAAAAGAAAGAAAGAGGACAAAAAGAAAAAAAAAGAAACAGAATTAGCGTGAAAAAAAAAAAGGAGATAAGATTGTCGTGGGGAGTCTTATAGAATCCGTGGGGTGGGGGTGAGGGAAAAGGGTGATGGAAAGTATTCGTATTAGAAGGACGAATGTGATAGAAAGAGAAAGATAATGGGGTTTGGGAGGAGAAACGTGATGCGCCTGAGCGTAGAAGTTGGTGGTGGTTATGGTAGCTGATGCGAGATTGCAGTCGATGGACCACCCGAAACCCCGTACTGTAGTGGAGTGGGGTGGGGTAGGGTGTTCTGAGGTGGGGGCACCCCTGACCACGGCATCAGCTGGCGCGGTGAAGGGAGGCAACGTTTATATGCCGCAGCAATCCGCCCCGTAGACGCATTCGCTTGTACGCTTCGTCCAAAGAGGGCTTATACGAAAGAAAGAGAGACAAAAGATATAGTTGTCGGTGGTCTCCTCTTATCTTTCTCGTGTCTCAATATATTATCATCGTCGTATATCGTCTATTACACTACTACAAGGAATTGAATTTATTTCGAAAAAGGGAATTCCAAGTTGAAGAAAGAAAATCGAAAATAAATACGGGAACAACGTCAACAAACAAACAACAAAAATAATCGAAACAATATTTCTTTTTTTTTTGTTGTCGAAAGTTAAACGTACATTAGATCGATTAACAAACGTTAAATCACTAATTTAATTTTGGAAAAATTATAACTTTGTTAATTGTTGTACTATCTATCGTTCGTTAATTTTGATTTTCCTTTTGTCAACTATTAATAGGCAGTGAGAATTAAACGATTTAGAAAAAGAAAAATTAGAAATAAAAAAACAGAGCGAAGTTTGAGATTACTTATATTTTTCTTTTTCCTTTCGCGATATTGTTATTATTGTTGTTATTATTATTATCGTGGTAATTCGTATCAGGCCAAAGGTATTTTATTGACGAAATATAAGACGAAGTTAAGAGACGAGGAAGAATCAGATCATACGTTTTCAAAGCTTTCCTGAAGGAAAAAGAATAATTGGAGAGAATTTGAAATACGCAATGGCAGTAGCAGCAGCTCAGAAGAATCGCGAAATGTTCGCTATTAAGAAGTCTTACAGCATCGAGGTGAGTTTTATTTGATTTTTAGTTTATATTTTTCTTTTTTCTTCTTTTCATCTTACGAATCTTTATAATAACGTTTAAAGATATATATGTAACGTGTGTGTTTTGATTAATCGTAGAAATTTTATGATAGAAACAATATCGAATGATAATTTATCATAAAACGTTAGAAAATTAATTGGAGTTGTTTAAACGGCATTTCGAAACGGTTAGTTTGGAGATTTCAATGCGCGTAAATTCGCACGGTCGTTGCATTCTCATCGGGAATGATCATCGGATTCGAGAAGTTTAACTGTAACACTTCGCGTCTACATTTATTTTTGCAGAATTATTCTTTTCTTTACTTTCGTATGTGGCTCGTAAAACGTTTCATTTACATAACCCATTTTTTTCTTAAGCTTTAACGTGTATCTCTCTTTGTTGTCGACTTAAGTGAAACTCTTCACTCGCGTAAATTCTTTTCATGAAATTTAAAAGGAAGACAAAAAAAAAAAAGAAATCAAGTGTGTTCGATTAGAGAAAGTAAATATGCTCGCGTCTAAGATCCCAATGATTCGGAATTTGTATAAATTCTCGCGAGATATGCGATATATTTTTTTCTCTTCTCGAATAATTTTATCTATTGAAAAAAAAAAACGAAAAGAAAAGAAAAAAAAAAAAAAAAAAAAACTATCCACGGAGGGGTTTAAATTCGTTATAAAACTTTCTCGTCACGCATCGTCATATCTTATTAAAAAAAAAAAAGAAAATCCAATCTTTTCGTATTATTATTATTATTATTATTATTATTATATATAATTTACATAGTGTCATAAATAACTATACGCTTACGTATCCACACGTGGATAAGGTAACATGGTAAAAGGAAATAATATAATTTTCTAAACCGTTTCCTTTTACCGTATATTATAATATTATTATCTTGAAAAAGATTCTCTCTCTCTCTCTCTCGTCATTGACGAGTCAAGAAAATCATCCGTTGCGTCCGTCAATGTTTGTTCAAGTCGCATAATGACCGTTGATGAGTCCGATAAACGATACCAGACACGATAATCTACGTTCGAATGTATCCTAGGTTTCTTTTCCTTCTTTTTCTTACCGAAAGATTGTCTTCCTATCTTTATCTTTCTAAATTACTTCTATTTAAAGTCGTATTCCTTAACGAGAAACCCTATCGCCCGATGACTAATCAACCATAATTGCTAATACACTTCTAACCAATACAATTCCAAGTTCATTCTATCTGTTATAGAATTTTATCAGTTTTTTTATAATATTCTATACAAAGATACTTGATAATCAAACTAATCGATACCATCTAGATGAATTTACGTAAGATTATAAGTACTTAGTTTACGAGGAAACGCGACTATACAATCATTTATTTCTTTTTTTTATTTCAATTTTATATTAACAACAACAACAATAATAATAATATGTCTGTATCTATTTTCCTCTGTCTGATTCGTAATATATTTTTGTTAAAAATAGAAATAGAAAAAAAAAAAAAACAGAGATTTCAAACAAATAAGATAATCTACGAAATTCTTTCGATAATAATTTAACGATGTATAACTGTAAACGATTCTCATCGCGCGAGATTGAGGAAACAAATCGTAATATTATTGTCGAATAATAAGGAAAAAGAAAGAAAAAAGAAAAAGAAAAAACAAACACAAGAAAGAATTCGGAAGAATAATATCTCTCTCTCTCTCTCTCTCTTAAATAAAATTTCCGTAAATATCTTTACTATTGATTTTTTATGGTTCGACGACCAGATACGTTTTGTCGAATAAATTAACATTCAATTAGAAATATATTGAGGATTAAATTCAATGAAATTTAAAACGTTGCTGCTTTCCTCGTAAAATAATGACGCGAAATGATTTTTAAATCACGCGAAAGAACGATCGAAAATTCTGACGTTGCTTGGAAGGACATTAGAAGAAAAAAAAAAAATAGGAAAGAAAAGAAAAGAAAAGAAGAAAGAAAAGGAAAGAAATAATAAAAGAAACGTTTAGGTATATTGCGAAAGGAAAGGAACGATTAACGATTGGTAGACGCGATTGTAAACACGATTGTAACATCGCTTTGGCGGATGCGACTCGTGATGTCTCTCTCTTTCAATTTCTCTCTCTCTCTCTCTCTCTCATTTGATCATGCGTTCTCTTTAATACCTTACTCGTGTATTTAGTCATGTCACGGACCTTGAGTGATAGATAAATGCGTGTATATATAAAAGAATACGAATACAAATATCAACAACGTTAACATACGAAAATATTACATATATATATATGTATATATATGTATGTAATATCATTGGAACGTGTGGTTTGAAAATCGTTACGAACGATTAGAAGTTCTCGGTGAGATCGCGAGAATGAAACTCGAGTAACTCGATTGATTTTTCGAGATTTCGAATCAGTTTCTAGGATATCAGGGAACAGTAGTGTACCAGAACCACCACAAATAATGAGACAAGAATGATGGTGAACCCGTGAGTCATTGAAACGGAACTTGTTCGCGCCCATATCTGGCCACCCGATCGGATCGTGTCCGGTAGGAGTTTGCCAGGTTGCTAGGGTGCTCTAAGATATATGACCTTGGCTCGTTACATTCGAGATCTCGATGTATCTTTGCCATCGAAACATCGTGATCTTACGCAGGTGGACAAGGGATATCTACTGGTTTCATTATTTCTCTCTATTCTTCTTTCTTTCTTTCATATTTGTTTTTTTGTTCACGATTCAACGAACATTTGGTATAACTCGGTTGCAAAATCGGTTTCATTCGACTTGTGATAAATTAGAGCGTATTATAGATATGGGAAAATAATGTCTGAGACTAATGATAATGATAGGTTTAATGTTTTACCATTGTCTTAAAGGTTGTTCGACTTATCGCGTTTTCTTCTTTTTTTACAAAAGTCAAATTAAAATAAATAGTTTCGCCTAGTTAAGAAAGAGAGAGAGAAAGAAAGAGAGAGGGGAAAAAAATGTAACAAATAAAAAACTAACAAGCAAAACTCTCTAGAAATAATAATAATAATATTAATAATAATAAAATTATAATACTAATAAAAAAATTAGAGTATCATACCGGATATGTAAGACATTTAAGTTTTACTAGCATTCACGTATATATATATATATACAACTTCGTTGGAACGTTAATTACTCTTGTCTGTTAATTGACTATATTTAAATAGCGGTTATTGCTAATACGGATTGCGTTCGGATTCCATTTGTTAATCTCTA